TTAGACCATTTAGCTACCCCGCCCCTTCCTTTTTTTACAATCTGCCAAATTTAACCTCCCTGGTATTATGTAGTACACTTGCAAGGCCATGAAAAGAGTAACACTGCCATGTTACAAATGCTTACTCAGAGATAGCAACAGCAGACATACTTGTTGACTATCCGTTATAACAAACGTTTCATGTTATTGTTGGCTTATTGAGCAATTAAATCAATAATTTGATATATCTCGATATTAAAAAAGCTTTTGTTGTCTAACAGATGATATTTATTATGTATGTATTTGAAGAAACATATATCTATTATCATTTTAGTTACCTTTTTTCAAATATTCCTACAACTCATTAGTTAATGGGTGTTTTTTCTTTGGGTGGGGGGTGTGGGGGTAGATGGCCGAATGGTTACCGCATGTGCGTTGTATCACAAGGTTTGTCATTAAGTCAACTGGCGTGGTTTTGATTCCCCGGTTGTACGTGATAAGAAGTAGGGTCGCCTGTCCAACCTCATGGGTGGGTTTTCTCTGGGTCCTCCGGTTTCCTCCCACTGCTAAAGACCCCTACGTGCAAGCGAATTATTGAAATAAAGTTGAACCACGCTTACCATTCACCCCCCCCACACACATTATTTCTGAACTAGTATAGTAAGAAGGACCAGCTCTTGTATCTTTAACAAAGATGAAGTTTATTTTAAACAATGACTTCTATTTACAATGAACAAGAGGAATTTCAAATTGAATGAAATCTCATTTTTGTGTCTGGCTTTTAGTTTAATTCTCTTGTAGGTTATCAGCGTTTCAAGAGATTCTGTTTAAAATGTTTAGAAAGTCTATAAATATACTCTCATATGATTTCTGGATTTCCTTAATGTTTTGACAAAACCAATTTGATTTTGTTCTCCTTGCCAAGGAAAAACACACAATCTTAATGAATAAATAACATGAAATGAAATGAAATGTAGTTAAATTTCGTACTGTTTTGCTCTGACTCGACTTATGAAGACGGCCATACGCCATACAGTGTGCTGAAAAGAAAATTTTGCCCAGGCAGCGTCACTATGGCTTACTCTTATATCAAATTCCAACTAGCAAGGGATCTTTTACATGCACCATCCGTCCTGCACCACTGACAGGGGGGGGGGGGGGGGTACAATAATCACTACATGTGCAAAACAGTTTTATTTTCAGTTCTTTAGGGTCTTAGTAAATAAACATGAAAGATGTCTTGTTTAGAATTTCAACACTATTAAGTTTTTAAACAATGCAACCAAATAATGTATGTAACATTTTCGAGTCAGAAAATATACCTGCAGTAGGCAGATTTCACATCATCATTGTTAGTTTAAACGATATTTATTCATAAATATCAAATATAACATGACAATTTTAAACATATAAAAACAAACTAAAAGCTTATATAAATGTGCTTCATATAATACTGACAAGGAGTAGGGTCGCCAGTCCAACCTCGTGGGTTTTCTAGCGGTCCTCCGGTTTCCTACCACTACTAAAGACCCCTACGGGCAAGCAAATTATTGAATAAAATTGAACCATGTGTTAGTCCCGAAATGACCTAGTTTGAGTTGAGTGGAGGTTTCCTCCCACTGCTAAAGACCCCTACACGCAAGCGAATTATTGAATAAAATTAAACCATGTGTTAGTCCCGAAATTACATGTACCTAGTTTGTGTTGAGAGTGGAAGATAAACCCACCTCTCTCTCTCTCTCTCTCTCTTTCTCTAGCTTATAAATGATATTAACATGAATTTATAATACTTGTATATAGATGAGTGATATGTCATGGTTAATTAATTGATAATTAGAACCTGGATGTATCGAATTATAACAATAGGAAGTCATATAATTAATGAAGAGATTATAGACGGATGTATATACATGGGATGATTGATATATTAATGATATCATACATTGATTAACAGCTGTTCTCAGCTAAGGTTATCTTTAAGTCTCAAACTAAGCATATATCAACCCCAAGTACAGCTTGGACTTATACGTGCGTATTTACAGTTATCTACCTCAATATAAACATATTTCATTTTGATGAATGGTATAGGCAGAGGGATTTTTTCTTGCTACAAACCGTACAGTTATTACCTTGTGTCTCTGAGTTCTTGTGTCCATAAAGTGACAAATTGTAAGTCATTTTGTGTGTCTGAATTCCTGTGGCCAATAAGTGACGAATTGTTCAGTCGACTTGTGTGTCTCATCTCCTACTGTCTAATAAGTGACGAAAGGTAAAAATTAACATGAATCGATAGATGGATTATGTAAGATTTAGATAAAAAGCTGGCTGTTCATGCTATAGTAGCTCAAAAATAGATAATGAAAAATGAATATATTGAAAATTACTTTATTTTAAGCGAAGTTATGAATGTTTTAAGTTTTGACGATATAGTTTCAATTGTCAATTAACATTGCTACAATAATAAACACAGTCTTGATTATCAATTTTAATGTTTAATTATTAAACAATGCAGATGTTCTTATCCATTTAATATCTGGGCCATTTGATGGCCTACACTAGAGTTGGTTGTATGATTGTCTTAATAATATTTTTATAGCATTTAAAACTAGAAAAGGGCAGATTCTTACATTTTACATAAAATAATTAATAAATACAGAGCAGGGTATTGAAATCTATAGGTACAGATAAATTAAATGGTTTTGATGAATTAAAAAATGTCTCAGGTGACAGGTGCTACCATTTAAAGTAGCTAAATCTCTAACTTGTCAATTTAAATCAACAGTGATGTTGTAATCTTATTACGAAAAGATGGGCTTCTGATATCCGATATTCAAGATTGGTACACGAATCGTGTACCATAATGTGATTCAGTGCCATTTGTAACAAGGGACTAGACATGTTCCACAAGTCAAGTCAAACATTTTCTTATCTGGAGAGCATGTGTAATAAATACTATTGTAGACCAGAGATTGCCATTTGATTGATACTTCTTGTGTATTTCGCCGAACATAACTGATTAGAAATTACAGTAAAAACAGAAACAATTGATTGTAAACCAGTTTATATACCGGTACATTCATATTACATTATTATATGCGTTGCGACCGATTTGTGCCAGGGGGGTTGGATGGCCGATTGGTTAGCCCGTGCGCGTTGTATCATTCCCCGGTTGTATGTGACAAGGAGTAGGGTTGCCTGTCCGACCTCGTGGGTTTTCTCTGGGTCCTCCGGTTTCCTCCCACTGCTATAGACCCCTACACGCAAGCCAATTATTGAAATAAAATTGAACCATGTGTTAGTCCCGAAATGACCTAGTTTGTATCGAGTGGACGTTAAACCCTCTCTCTCTCCCCGTTTGTGTCAATTTCTACTTCCCAGATATTAGTGATTTAGCTCCTTTAAAACAGTCCAACCTCATGGGTTTTCTCCGGGTCCTCCGGTTTCCTCCCACTGCTAAAGACCCCTACACGCAAGCCAATTATTGAAATAGAATTGAACCATGTGTTAGTCCCAAAATGACCTAGTTTGTGTCAAGTGGACGTTAAACGCCAATCCTCTCTCTCTCCCTCCAATGTATACATATTGTTCTGTCGTATGATGTTTACCTCTTCAATACCTTTTCTACCTTTGATTTTCTGTTTTTAAGCCATTGTTGTCACTGTCTACATGATTCTATAAAGTTACCTGAGGACAGAAATATCGTAATTGAAGGTAATTGATCTCCTCGGCAGGAAATCGTAACTAAAGATAATTATTGTAGTCGGTTTTTCAACCTATTTAGATATCCAACATTAAAGGGATTTCACTTGTGTCGATTTCTTTTGTAATCTTGTGAAATGTTACGTAATTTAAGGTAATTGATCATGACAGGAAACTGTAACCAAAGGTAATTATTGTCGTGCTTCGTTTTCATCTATTTAGATATCCATCATTAAAGTGATATCATTTTCGTAATTTTATGAAAATAGTTTCGAAATGTTACAACTTTTGTTCTGTAGAGTTTGAGAAGAAATAAGAGATGCACGAACTTTATTATGTTTTTTTTTCTAATTTGTTTTACGAACAATATGAATGCAGGACGTAATTCTATGCCCACATTGCTTCTCGAGAGAATTTGGGTTTAATGTCCACTGGACGCAAACTAGTTTCAGGACAAATGAAATGAAATGAAATGAAATGGGGTTTAACGTCCTACTGTTCTGCTCCTAACCTGGGCTAATGAAGACGGGCATATGCCATACAGTGTGCTATGAGGGAAATTTTGCCCGGACAGCGGCACTACAACCTACTCTTATATCGAATTCCAACTGCCAAGGGATCTTTTACGTGCACGCCAATGTGTACACGGGACCTCGGTTTTTCGTCCCATTCGAACGACTAGACAGCTTACCTTGTCAGCCCCTCCGTCCTGCATCACTGACAAGGGAGAACCACACCGGAAAATCTGGATGAACTTTCTCGGCCAATGCAGGGATCGAACACCCGACCTCCAGGCTAGCGAGCTAGCGTCTTACCCACTTAGCCACGTGATCCCCAGTTTCAGGACAAACGTATGGTTCGATTTTGTTTCATTAATTCACTTGCTCGTGTCAAGAAGAAGAAGCCTATAGAATTTCAGTTATTGCTTTAATTACTTTGTAGAATCTGTTCAAACAATAATAACATGCTGGCTTTCTAACACTAGTTTGTGTCAAGTGGACTTTAAACCCCATTTCTCTCTCTCTCTCTCTCTCTCTCTCTCTATCTCTCTCTCTCTCTATCTCTCTCATGCTATGTTTTAATAGATTATAGTCTTTGTGTGTTTTATTTTTGCCTATTATGAGCTCGTGCTATCAAACTGGAAGTTGGACTTTATATCTTTAATAGATAGACTCTATTTATTCAAGTGAGTAAAACAGAAAACTGTAATTCCCATCAAAATGTTTACAAGTTGAAGTGAGTTCTGAAAATAGCACAGCTGCACAATTACATGTATTGTAAAAAATAAGTTTTACCAGCATATGATAAAATTGATTGTTGTTAGTGTTAGTTGGTAACATATACAGTCGCTTGTCACGATGTTTACATAACTTGCTGAAATATGTTGCTTCTCCTTTATGGATTATTCCGTTAAATTAATAGACAAGATTTAACAGTGGAGTTGGATTGTAATATCTGTCGGCTGTCAGTATGTGGAAGGAGTTATGGAACTGGAGAAGACAATCGGAAAGTAAACCGCAGGAAAAGACAGGTGATATTATAAATCTTAGACAGGGATCGTTTCTTTCATGTTTATAGTATGTGCAGGAGGACTGCACCACACACCAATTAGGGGAGTGGGCTGAAGGGATCAGAAGGTCTGTCATTGAGTCAATTGCTGTGGTTTGATTCCCCACTTGTACATGACAAGGAGTATAGTCGCTTCTCTCTCTTGTGTGTTTCCTCAGGTTTCCTCTCACTGCTTGATAGTGTACTCTCTCTCTCTCTCTCTCTCTTTCTCTCTCTCTCTCTCTCTCTCTTTCTCTCTCTCCACACACATTTACAACCCAACAGATTACTCCTTATATCATCTGTAATAATGCAGTAATCATTATTTGTCTATTCATCAAGTTAGATAACACCATTAACAAAGTTGTTATTTTAAAAATTCATAAGCTCATGAACAAACAAAACTCTTTTTTTTTTAACAATAAGAAAGGCATGGGACTATTAAAATAGGTTTATCTGTCCGTCTGTCTGTCGGTCGGTCACATTTTTTGGGATACAATAACTCTCCTTCTAATTGAGGTAGAATATTCAAACTTGGTGTAGGTGTTTATTAGGCCAATGCCTTGATGGAGTTTGAAGATGAGCATTTTCTGCTTAGGGTAAGCAGAGAAGCAATTTAATTGGATTGATGCTTTGGGACATGATAACCTTAGTTCTAATTAAGTGAGAGTGATGAAACTTGGTGTATAGTTTCATTACATCATTACCTTGACTAAGTCTGATAATGAGCATTTTCTGCTCAGGGTAAGCAGGGCAATAAGCAATTTAATTGGCCAAGACTTTGGAAAACAATAACTCTCCTTCTAATTGAGCTAGAATGTTCAAACTTGGTGTAGGTGTTTATTAGGCGAATGCCAGAGATAAGCAATCTGTTTGGTTGATGCTTTGGGGCCAATATTTTTGGTTTTAATTAAGTGACAGTGATGAAACTCCGAGTATAGATTCATTATATCATTACCTTGACTAAGTTGGATGATGAGAATTTTCTGCTTAGGCTAAGGATCCATAAGCAATTTGATTGATCAAGACTTTGGAACAAAACAACTCTGTTTTAATTGAGGTAAGATGTTTAAACTTGATGTAGATGTTCGTTAGGTGAATGTCTTGACTGAGTTCAATGATTAACATTTCCAGCTAAAGTTAAGCAGAGCTACGCAATTTCATTGGGCGATACTTTGGGACAAGATAACTTTGGTTTTAACTGATGGAGTGTGATGAAACTTGGTGTATAGTTTCACTACCAGATACTTCAAAACCTTGACTGAGTTGGTCAGGAACATTTTATGCTTACACTAAGTATAGATAATCAGTTTGATTGCTCGATACTTTTGAAAAAAATAAATGTGCAATTAATTAATATGTGTCATCTATTTATTTTGGCATTTCGGCGAGGCACATCAGCCTCACTGTTGGCTTGTTTATACATATATAATTTACATCACTTTCAATATCTAGCATTTTTAGGAGTGTATATATACATATATACATGTATAACAGCTGCAGTACTAATGAATGTGAATCAAACAGCTTTTTAACTACAAAAATGAAAAAATGATATACATAAATATATATACTTGTACCTATACATTATTTAAAATAATAGGGTGGTTGGATGACTGAATGGTTAGCGTGTATTTGTATCATAAGGTCTGCTATACATTGAGTCAACTGGCGTGGTTTCGATTCCCCGGTTGTACGTGACAAGGAGTAGGGTCGCCTGTCCAACCTTGTCGGTTTTCTCCGGGTCCTCCGTTTTCCTTGATATAAAATGGAACCATATATTACTCCCGTGTTTGTGTCGAGTGGACGTTAAACTCCATTTCCATCTCTCTTTAAAATAATGTTTCTAGCAATGTGCCAGTCGTATATCATTTATACTAGATGAAATATTGGACTCATTGATATGCACGTGTGAGATAATGTAATGCCCTCATGCAGTATTAATATACATGTACTACTTCATATCTCGCTCCCCTCTCCCCTCTGTTAAACCACACTATTTTTGTACTCTTCAAATCTTTTCATATAATAAAAGTAAATGAGCTCATATTGCACTCAATCCCTACCAAGCATGGGGGAGGTCCCCCCCTCCCCCAATTCATTATCGGGGGGGGGGGGGGAAGGGGCGGTCTGACTATACTTGGACCCCCCCCCCCCCCAAAAAAAAAAAAATTTACATAGTAGGCCCAAACTCCTATTTATTTACAACAATTATTAGGATTAGTTAAGATTCTATCTGTATAAAACCTGTACATATCCCAATATGGTTTATACTGCTAAAATAAAACACAGAGATAATCATCCTGGAAACATGTGTGAAGTGAAAAGTACCTGTGTTCCATAAAATTGTGTCTAGTTAGCCTGTCAGTGTCAGTAATATTTTGTTAATTTTTTTCTGCCACTTATCAGAGTGAATCGCATGTAGGTACCCAGAAACATAACCGCCTAAAACCAAATATTTTTCGCCCGCTCAGCCAGCAACGTAACCATAATGCTTTTGCACGCGGTGTCTTAGTATACAGCATGGCCACATGGTCTTTGTTTATATTTTTAGGGGTTTTAAAAAATGGGTTAGGGTTGCGGACGCCCCCAATATATATTTCACGGCTACGCCTCTGCTACCAAGTGCCATCTAAATACGGGACATCCTGGTGAGATATTATAGACCTGAATATATTTTTATCATTGATTGTCAGTTTACCTTATCAGTGATCATTTATTAAGGTAACGTTTGTTTTTAACCATGTTTGTACCTAGGCCTACCTGTATTTAGGTTATCTGTATAGTTTATGGTGTCAATAAGTCATATTGTTATTTTTATATAGTGAGCAACAGAATAGTTTAAAAAAAACTATTGATGGTGATATATTCTTGTATACTCTATTTTTAATAATTCAATATGGATGTTTCAAGGTACACCTTAGTTTTTATAGTTGGTTCATTCATTGTCCACGATTTCTTCGTATAACTCAATATCCGATCTTTTTATATGTCGTTATTGAAATGAGTATGTTATTAGTCGTCCCCCCTGTCCATCTGTCCGTCTGGCATCCACAAGAGGTTAAATTTATCATTCGATTGACTTTAAATTTTAGTTCATGAGATGATGAAGCCTATTTATTTTCTGCGATTACCTATAATTACTGTCAGATTTATGGCCCTTTATCACTTTGAAAATATTCGATTGACTTTAAATTTATACACAGTGTTTAAGGTCATGAGACGAAGAAACCTATTGATTTTCAGCAATTTCCGATAATTACTGCCAGAGTTATGGCCCTTGATCACTTCAAAATATCTTGTGGATGCTCTAGAAACTTAGATTAATATCGGATTGACTTTAATTCTATACACAGTGATGACGCAGCCTATTGAATTTCATTGATATCCGGTAATTACTGCCAGAGTTATGGCCCTTAATCACTTTGAACAATCTTATAAACATAAAATTGACATCCCAAAGTCTGTAGTGTGGGTGGCAGGCTGAGCCCTATAGTATGACTCTATGATGAGAGTTTCATTTTAATTTGTTAGGGGGGTTGGGTGGCCAAATTGTTTGACAAGGTCTGTCATTAAGTATATTTTGAGTGGTTTAGACTCCCAGTTTGTACGTGACAAGGAATAGGGTCACCTGTCCAACTTATTGGGTTTTCTCTAGTTTAGTCCTAAAACGACTTAGTTTGTTTCATGTGAAAATTAAACTCATTGAGTCAACTGGCATGGTTTTGATTCCCCGGTTGTACGTGACAAGGAGTAGGGTCTCCTGTCCAACCTCGTGGTTTTCTCCGGGTCCTCCGGTTTCCTCCCCCTGCTAAAGATCCCTATGCGTAAGCGAATTATTGAAATAAAATTGAACAATGTGTTTGTCCCGAAATGAGCTAGTTGGTGTCAAATGGACATTAACCCCATTTCTCTCTCTTGGGTTTTTTTCCAGTTCAGTCCCGAAATGAACTAGTTTGTTTCGAGTGGACTTAAACCTACCTCTCCCTCTCTCTCTCTCTCTCCCTCTCCCTCTCCCTCTCTCTCTCTCTCTCTCTCTCTAATACTAAGGGCTATAAATTATAATAAAGGGTGTAATGGTGTGTACCTGCCTATAAACACTTACACCAGGTTACAATATCCTTATACAGTATGACAAATAATTTAAATATATATATGTAACTTTAGTCTAGCCCATCCCATTCTTACTATTAAACCATATTCAGTTATTACACACTTCATTCAGTGAATGTCACTCAAAAGTATATGATGAAATTTATGATTTTCTCTTACATTATACACCTTTATATTCACATTTCTTAGAAGACACCTGAACTACCAAGATGCCGAAAGGTAAAATAGATATTTGACAATTATTTTGATATTTTCACATAGATTTTGTCATTTACTAAAGGTACAATAATTTCTAAACTTTGTGATATAGATATTTGAGGATTATTCTGATATTTTCACATACATTTTGTCATTTACTAAAAGTAAAATAATTTCTTAATTATGTTATATGAATATAGATATTTGAGAATTATGCGGATATTCTCGCCTAGATTTTTAGTCAAGGAGAGAGAGAAATGGAGTTTAACGTCCACTCAAGGGTTTTAAATGTGGGAGAAAAACAGAGTACCGGGAGAAAAACCCACATGGTTGGACAAACAAATTCACTCCCTGTCATGTATAAGCAGGGAATCAAACCCACACCACTTGACTCAATGACAGACCTTATGATCTAACACACGTATTTAACCATTCACACCCTTTCCCCATTTACTAAAAGTGATCCTCGTGTGATGTTAGATGATGTGTATAATGTTTATTTTGTTTATCTTGACTGACTTTCTTAAATTAAAATGTCAATCTTTCGTGTTGGTATTTATATTCTAAATATAGAAGTTTGATAAAGATCATGGTTTATATAAGTTTATTTTTCCAGTTAAACTAGATATTTTATTAAAACTTATGTAAGGGTGTGGTAGGGGGGAATGAACA